CCTTCCGCCAGTCAACACTCCCTGCACCTACGCCAAGTGGAACCATGCCCTGCCTTATGCCTCACCAGAATATTAGAATATTAGTCACACCTGTTGTCTGTCTCCAGGGTTTGTCCTAGGCATAACTGAACTAAGAGGCTGCTTAGATCCCACCAGGGACCACGCCCATCTGATCAGCCTGTCAGAATGGGAAGAAAGATGACAGGTGACAACTAGGTTAATCAAAATTTTATTTTGACCAGCCCCACTTGTCTTTTTTGATACACCTGATTGTGTCTGACTATCATGTTTAAGTTTTGCCTGCGCTATTGACCACGTCTTTTGGATTTTTGATTTGGACTCGTCTACCAGACTTGTCTGACCCTAGCCTGCTCTTTTGTGTAACAATAGTGGATTACGTTTTGGTATTGATGAGCTGTCCCAGTAAAGGAATTGCTCTGCTCTCGGATCATTGGACTCATTCATTACAATAATGTATTTTCCCCTCTTATGGTGTATCCCTTCAAGGCTGTTGTTGGCTTTAAAATATCTATTCATTTAGATGGCAAATGTCAACAATCTGATGACAGTATATTGATTTTTATTATTAAAATGCAAAAATAATGGATGAAATGCATTGATAAAGTGATATTAAAAAATCAATGTAGTTCATTTCTGTTTGCAATATAAATGCCACCTCTTACGTTTACTGCAACCCAGGTCATCTATTTCTATGTGACATTTTGATGTAGAATAGAACAGAATGCAGGCATTTTATTCATTCTGTGAGCAAATCAAGTCATTTGCACATACATCAGGTTTTGAGGTCAAAGTGCAGTTGGGGTGAGAATTGGCAGAGATATATATATATCAACAACACATTCACATTGTCATCTGGACTGTTTTTGACCACTGTCTTCTCTTATCTGTGTATGCATCTGCAGTATGATTGAGAGCCATTGACAATCAGTGATGATCCACCTGTATGTAAGAACATACTTGGCCAAATAAACCAGAATCTGATTCTGATTTGAAGAGTTATCGCAATTTTGAAAGTGACATTGCAATTTTAAAAAAAAAAAACTGCTGAAGAGAAGCTAATCTTGCTTTGCTTGTTCGTTGTTTTTTAACATGATTCCTCTTGAGCATTTCAGGTCTACATTGAAAGTAAAAATTATCTTCTCACTTTAAAGAGCCTTAATTAAGCTCAACTCAACAAATAAACCCTAAAACAAAAAATGATTAACATAAAACAGTACAGTACAAACTCCAGTACCTACAGCAGTATCAAATTTTTATTGCTTTTTAGCAATTTAGGATTCGGAACTAAAAATGTAGCACGTGTCATGCATATCTAAATTACCACCTTTACAGTATACAATATGTACACTACTGAGAACAAGCAGGGTATAAAAATTCAGTCTGAACTGACAACTTGAAAATGCGAACTGGAAATTGTCTTACTAAAGATAAACTAAATAAATAAAATTCTCTACAGACTATCAATGGCACTGGACTTCATTATCCATTTAGCGTTGTCAATACAGCGTGGGACAAAATCAGCCCGTGTGCATCATCCATCCATCCATTTCCTGAAATCACTTTGCCAACCTACACCTACAGGCAATTTGGTAACTTCAATTAACCTCAGCATGTTTTTGGACTGTGTGTGTGTGGGGGGGAATAGAGCACCCAAAGGAAACCCCCCAATGTCAGCACAGGGAGAACATGCAAACTCCACACACATGGAACCCTGGCGGAGACTGAAACCTGGGTTCCACAGGTGTGAGGCAACAATGCTAACCAGTGCACCCCTGTGCACAGCAAGGCCAATATATTAGCAGTAACAAATGTTATAACATTTTGTAACATATTGTAACATTTGTAACATAACACAATTACAGTAACCTACATGTAAACTGATGTCTAAAAAATCAGAGCTTTCCACCATCAAGAAGATTTTTTTCAATGTCTCAATTCAGCTTTATTTGTATAGCGCATTTTCACATTACATTGTCTCAAAGCCCCCAGTGAGCAAGCCAGATGTGACAGTAGCAAAGAAAAACTCCCTAGTAGGAAGAATCTTTGGGAGGAACCAGATTCAAAGGGGGAGCCCATCATCCGGGGGCCAACGGAGGAAGTCAAATGAACTCTGCAGACTATCAATGGCAATGGACTTTGTTATCCATTTATAGTTCATTTTCACCCACCCCTAGTGCAGGGTCAGCCAGAGTCCAGCACCCCTATGTGACTCACACACAAAAGCATATACAGCTGTGAATGAACCTTGGGGATCAGAGTACAAGGTGAGCCATTTAAGGGCTAAGGGCTTTGTCCAAAGTTCCCATGGTAACATGATTACTCCACTGGCCACAGGATTCAAACCCACAACCTTCAAATACGGACACAGACCTCTAACACTCCGATATAGTGACTATTCATCTTTCATGCATTATTGTAGAGTAGAAAAGAGGGTTTGTTAGTAGGGGTGTAAATCTTTGCTGACAAGGCGATTCGATTACAATTATTTAAGGAACCATTTGGTGCATAGGAAATCCTTAAGAAGAAGAATTGTTTTCATTGATCAATTATTTAATTATTTTGATAGCTTATTTAACTTTGCTGGAAAAAAAATCACAAATATGACCATAAAAACTTAAAAACTACTAATGGAATACAAAAAGTATAACCTCAGAACATTCATTTTTATTGTTATTATGAAACAGGGAGAATAAGTCACTGTAAATTGTCAAAAAGGGTAACTACTGAACTGTACATAGGAAAAAAAACACATAAAGGAAGCACTATCTGATTGGTTGCTTTCACATTGGCTGACTAGTGGTGCATCAATGTGGAAATTTGCTGGTGGTGAATATTGCTAAGCTTGCTGGCACAGATTAGTGGAATGACGTTGCACTTATTTATTCTGAGTAAAAACAAAAAATTGACCTATGGGCCAGATTTAATAGTGAATTATATAATGCTGCGGGCCAATACTTTGAGGCTACTTCTGAGTGGTGAGTAAGCAGATGAAATTCCTCATCTTCTCCTATGGAAAATGGTTGATTGTTCAATGGAATCATCTCCATTATTTTAGAACTTTTGTCTTTAGTTCAGTTGCTGCTATTTCAATACTGAGGTTTAAATATTGGCCAGAAATATCAGTTGAGACTTATATATAGGACCAGTGCCGATATCTTTATGTTTTAACTTTTGAATATCAGCTGAAAACAATATGTTAACAGACATGTGCATCTCTAAACCATAACTAATTTTTACTTAGTTAGTCTCCTCAGTGTCTTGACCATTGCTACTGTACCACAGCTTGTAAAAGGTATGACTTTTCTGCGCTGCAAAACAGGGGAATGTGTCCCAAAAGCATTGCGATGCAGAGATCATCAAGTAGTGCTTCCTTTATAAATATTAAAAAGCCCCCCCCTCTGCATCCTGCGTTTCATAAATTCATGTTCCAGTGCTGCAACTTAGCACATCTATCTACAGCACTTGAGCGTGAGAAGCACAGTATCTTTACGAAGCAGGAGTATCTTTAAGAAGAACCTTGCTGATTATAATCGATTATAATTGATTCTGATGTTACAGACCAATGCAGTTGAATCACAACCTTAATAATCAAGTCATCATGATGCATCGATGTATCTTTAAACCCGTAGTTATTATTCTTATTTTGTAACTCAGATAGTAGCAAATGCATGTAACTTATGAGAAAGGTGTGTGACACATTTGTTGTATACATATCAAATTTGTTTTTTCAGACCAAGTTGTTTTAAATTGAGTTTGCTCAGTTAGACTTATTTATAGATATTTATTTTTTTGAAAATGACATATTTTCTTAGTGTTTTATACAAATACAAATGTCGTTTTATACTTCTCTAATGAAAAGGTATGAACACTTTGCATTTCTAGAGCAGTAAATCTAGAAGGCCTTGCATTTTTTCACAGTTTGTGTGGGAGCGGGAAGATGTCCAGCTAAATTAAGATTAATCTAAGTCACTCCTGCTATCATGGAGGGACACCAGCTTCTAAGCAAACCACATCTGATTGATTTTCCCTGTACTTCGGAGTCAGACTGACACACCATCAATTTCCTAAAGAGGGAACTGAAATCAGACATTTCTATTTTTAGAATTCCACAGTTTCTCTAAACTTAGTCCAAGGTTACATGAGAAAACAAATATTAAAGAGTGACAGGGGTCAATTTCTTAAAAAAAATATTTTTCATTACTTTCTATTTTTGTGTGTGTGTGTGTGTGTGTGTTTTTATATATATATATATATATATATATATATATATATATATATACACACACATATGTATTGTTAAAAAGGTTGATAAATGCTGTGATGTCATGCCTCCCACACAATGCATTCAATGAAAAATTGGTAGAAAAATACTAGTATTATTGTTGCTTGCGTTATGTAAGCAATATTGATGTCAATATAATATCAATAATAATAATAATAAAAAATAATAATGTATTTCTTAAGACTGGATCCTCATATGTTGGCATACTTATTGTCAGCATTGCGAACAACAGATATGTTCAAAATGAACTGAATTATGTAGCTGTTTGAAAGCTAAAGTCAATGCCTTCCTGATGTGAGCAGGCGATGTTGGTGTGAGAAGAGCATGCTTGCTGCTTGTTATCTGTGTGTGAAATATGGCTGTGTGTGTGTGTGTGTGTGTGTGTGTGTGTGGGGGCGGATCGGGTGGCAAATATTCCCTGGAATATAAACATAAAGTCACTAGACCTTCCATCCATTCCCATGCCATGGTCTGTTCATTCACCTGGATCATGTCTTGCTTTTACACACATGGTACCGAGTCATATTAAAATATGTTTCGCTTAACAGAAATTCTTACTGTCAAAGCACGATATGCATATACGATAAAATAGATGAAACAATCACCTAGTCACCTATCTCCAAATTTTCCCTAGCACATCATGTTTTGGAAGCTATAAAATAGGACACACTAAGACATACAGGACAGAACTCTAAAATGTGAAAAGGTGGAAAAAAACAAACAAACACCATGAAAAATGTACAATACTTACAACCATACCATTTAGCGACACCCAACAATCAGGCGGGAAATCTTGGAGAAGGGGAACCAGGAACTGCAGACAACCGTCCCAGTGGCAAAGAAGAAGCATCATTCCAATGAGATTAAATATTCTTACCACGGCACTCGCCAGGTCGTAGGTCATATGGAATATCTGCGGAGACACCAGGGAGGGTTTGGTTAGTGCTCGGAGTCAATGTGTGTTCAACTTTAAAATACTGTGAAATTCTGTTTCATTTTTTATTTGTATCTTGCAAATTTATGAAATGGGCTAATGGCATTCATAAGAAAAAAAGTATTCACTAATGTTTCTGCTTCTTTCTAATGTTTTATTGTGTTTAAGAAACAAACGTTACGGACATATTGATAGGAATTGCTCTTATTGTACATTTAACAAAAAATTCTTATAGTAAATAGCTGGCCCACTTTTATATTTCACAATAACCAGGATCCATGTGGGTTGTGCATCTACCAATGCAGCCAATAAAAGTATAAGGTCTGCTCAGTGCTACTATTACGATATGATTGTATTACCATCACATATTGTTTTTTTATTCACAATACAGACATTATTGATTCATAACTATAAATAAACATTTTCAGTTCAATTGATACATGGATCTTCAATACTGTAAATAATAATAATGCAGTTACAAAACTCTTATAGAAGACAATTTAAATAAATAAATAAAACCCAGGAATAACAAACACAAGGTTATTAATTAATTTAGAGGCCTCTCTTTAGAATAGATAAGATTTACAGTTAAATAAACCACCCTCTTTCCACCATCTGTAGCTTAAAGTTTTCTGAAACCCCAATCCATTCATCCATCTGAAACTGCTTGTCCTATTCAGGGTCATGGGGGGTCTAGAGGGCATCCCGGAGGCTGTAGGCGCAAGGACAACCCAGGATGGGTTGCCAACCCTTACAGGGCACAATGTAAGTAAAAACACTAATAAAATAGCATGCATAGTCCGAACACCAATATATTATCTGCACATGTTTAAAGTAATGTTTAACTGTACTTGATTTGAATTTAATTTTATTTTTTCTTCCTGTACAAGATATTATGTGACCAAGATATCTGTAAAATGAATATAATTTAATTAAATCTCATTATTAATTTGGACATGCATATTCTGGGTGAAGTATACACTACATAAATAAATATCTAATCAGTTACAATGCTTGGTTTTTGCAGTATGTTTTTGGTAGTTTGTGGAAGGCATAGCAACATGGTATCAGTGTCAGCTGTTTCTTATGCTGTCTATAAAATGAAAATTGCCAGGTGTGGACCTGCAGTTTCCATTATATTCTTGATCACAACATCCAGCTCAAATTTTATTTGTTTAATATTTAATGTTTAATTCCCTAATTGTGACAAACTAACCTTGTTAATTTGCCATGGAATATGAGTGTGATAGACCAACATAAATAAGTAAATAGTAAAATATAAGCATTATTATTGTTATGTACTTACACAAATTTAGAATATTTCTTTAACATTTCTATAAATATGGAGGATCTTATAAATCATGTGCGAGAGAACAATGTAAAGTATAAGAAATGTGTGTCGTTTGTGCTGTTATTTGGGGTGTGAGGTGCTATGATTACCAGTGCACTGACGTAGCAATAACTTTCTCTTTTCTCTCTTTACTACACGGCAACAACAATCTGATTTACAACGAATAAAATGAACTAATCAACTCTGTCCTATGAGATATGGCGATTATGCAGTATAACGCTGAAAAATTCTGCCTGGTGAGATGGATAGAAAACATTGTGAGAAAAAGCACAGATGTGTGTGCAAATGTGCACTTTAGGCGGGAGCCAAGAAACGCAGACAAGAAAACTACCAAGAAAACAGCAGCAAGGGGATGAATTTGCCCATAATCAGCTCCCCCAATTAGCCTGACTTAATTATTTAATGATTCGTAATCATTATTTTGTCATTTTTTTCAACCTAACCACTTCTTCTTAATAGTATGGCAATGACTAACACACCAATGGTACAAGTACAGAAGAAGCAGGAGGAGAACAGTGAAGATAGGAGTTTTAGCTCCATTAATCTATGGAGAGATATAGTGCAGGACATCTAAAATTAGCAGCTGGCTCAAAGGACAGCTATTTCAGTGCATCCTAACTGGAAGCCTCTTATTCCTCTTTAGTGTACGCTACGTATTGCAGCTTTACAATGCCTTATGGAAAGTATAATAATAATAATAAAAAAAAATCCTCCATATTTCTGCAATATTGAAAACTTTCCCCCACCCCCATTATAATGTTTTACAGAACTGCAGTTTTCCTGTGGATCCCAGAGGACTCATAAGCGAGAATACAATGGAATAGTCAAGAATGTGCACTTTGTGGATGGGGGGAAATGGTTTTGTATTTCAGGTCTATTTCACCACTGCTATTGCAGGTGCTGTGTTATTTTTAGCTGGATTTGTCATCAGTAGGAAAGTGATATGCCTGTTATTTAATTTGAACCTACTTTTAATTACTGCCATTCATTACATCATTTTTATAGAAATGATCATATAGGGGAATATTTTGGTTCTGCTCGGTCAGAAATAATCGTAAGTTTAACTCTCATTTGATCCAAATGCTAATGCTAGTAGCTACCTGCCTGACTAAACTTATTATGGACATATTCTGTGCAGGACAGCACTGGCTCTATGACAGTAGCACTGGTGACTCGCATCTGCAGGGTTGGGGGCTGGACCCCGGCTTTTGCTCTATACGTGTGCAGTTTGCACGTTCTCATGGTGTAACATGCTTACTCTCCCACAGTCCATCTCCCCGCACATCTGTATGAGTGGGTAACTGTGTTGGACTGAAATTAAATCTGTTCTTTATTCCAGCCTTTTGCTCTATGCATGTATTTAATGACAGTAACCCTGAACATGCTTTAAAGACATATGCTTATCCAAAAAAAAACTTAAAAATACAACATAAAGTTGACAGCTTGGTTGTAATATAACACATACCATCCAACATCACATTTCTGTCAACTTATTTTAAACATTACTAATCAGATTTTATATGAGTAATGTGAGATGATGCAAAAACAAGTTTTACAATGTACCATTTTACAATAATAATTCACATTATTATTATTATGGGCAAAGTGAAATGACATGCATTTATACAAGCATTAACAGATGACCAGTGCACTTATCCACCAGAGGGCATTCAATGGTGTTTAAACTACCCCGTTTTCATTACTTTAAAATCATGTGATTAACCTGAAAAATATCCTGCTCCAGCATCAGACATAATGAAAAATAAAAAAATGTTGTTGGCATACTGAAATCTGCTGTCCCAAAACCTTGTATATTGATGTCTTTTTTAGCTCAACACCAAAGACCTCACACTTCCCAAGAACTTTGAGGGAAATAAGCACTAATCACACAGACTACCCAGGTCCCAGAAATAGCCTGGTTGCAATCACACTTGGCATAACAGGCAAATTCCCTCTTTCAGAAGACTCGTCATCATTCATGTCTCACGTCACACAGTATAAATTTTACCATCAACCAATATTTTACATGAATCTGACAGGCAATGTTTTGCATAAGCACTGGGTAAAGGTTCTTCTCAACCAGGCTAAAAGAGTGGCAGGACTGTCAGCTGATAGACACTTTGAGCTGAGTTAGATTTGGTGCATGGAGAGGACACGCGACGGGGCAGCGAGCCCCAGAGGCACACTCAGGATTTGCTGAGAAGGTCTGGGTGAAGCTTCCATACAAAATCAATTCAACTTCTTGCATGCTGAGTGAGGGCAGGGACACTCTGAAGGCCACTGTATTGAAAAAGAGCTGGGGTCAGAAAGCGGACAGTGCCCGTAATGGTGCCAACCCTAGGAGGCGCTGATGGACACCGGTGGAAGGGGGGAGCTGTCAAGCTCCTGAAGGTCTTCAGGACGAAAGTTACTCAGGGGTCTTTGGAGAAAGTTAAAAGGGAGCGATAAACCAGGAAGGTCGCGGAGGGGAAAATCATACTCAGGCCGAGTTTGGAGAGGCCATTAGGAGGGACTATTGCATTGGCAAACTATTCCAAGGTGCATAAGGGGGAGGTGAGACCTTATTCAGGGGTTCTTCAGCAGCAATGGGGGAGTGCTGACATTGGGCATACTGTCTGGCCATATCTGAAAAAAAAATACTCTGAAATTCCTTAACCTGACGGGAAGGTCCTCTATTCAAGAGGCCGTGCTGAAAACTCCTAGAACCTATTACTGCAGTTGAAGGTGGTGGGGGAGACCTCCATGGTGTAAAGCAGGGGTGGGGAACCTGATCCATGGAGGGCCGGTGCGGGTGCAGGTTTTTGGGATGACCTCTCAATCAGCCAATAACAGTGGGTCCCCAGGACTGGAGTTGAGAACCACTGCTTTATTACTGGCTGATTGAGAGGCCATCCCAAAAACCCGCACAGGCCCTCCGTGGATCAGGTTCCCCATCCCTGGTGTAAAGGCTACTGGGATAGATAACATGTGCCTAGAGATGGTGAAGGTGCAGGATGTTGTTTGGGGTGATGTCATTGGGACTGGAAACGGGATGTTGGCCCCAACTGTGAAAAAGCGGAACCAGAAGGCATGTGCCAACTATTGGGTGAAGTTGGAGGAGATGCCACCTGATGGTAACATCTAGGATTTATGCTACAGGATAGAGATTCTGGTTTGCCCATGGAAAAATGAACCAACTCCTCTCCCTCAGGCAGCTTGGTGACCGTCCTGGGGAGTGTCCTGGGGAGCGTACTGGGGAGCGTACTGGGGAGCGTCCTAAAGCAGTCTGCACACGGGAAGGCGTAAGGCTGCATGCCCCAGCACACAGTGGGCGGTTCTGCAGGAATATGGGGTGCTATGTTCTGCTCAGTCCCTATATAAATCTAGTTATATCTACATACCTGGCACAAACTCAGGGGTACAGTATTTTAGAGTGGGTGTCAGTTGAGTGTTGCTTCATCTTTTTAATTTAATAGAAACCTCTTTGTGGCAAAAAAAAAACATATTTGTAGGTTTGTTTTGTTTACTCTCAGTCAAAACTCTATCTCAAGCAGAACCTTCAGACTGATAAATGAACTGTACACTCATACTGTTTGCTAGCATCAGCATCATATTTCAGCACTAAGGATTTTGCCAGTGAATTCTCCTG